ATATTTGTGTCTACCGCATAATGCACTTTATGCAAAATCTGAAAATTTGATAGAAAACGATACCGACTGCTTTCCAATCAGCCAGCGGTTCAGCATCCGAGAATACAATTTTTCCACAATCAGGCATTGTGCTCCAACCACTCCAGTTCCGCTCGCTCGGTGCGCCAAGCACTGACATCAATTTTCCAATTTGCTCAATGTCATTTTTGCCCTAAAACACTACGGTGGGCAAACTTTTCGTCCATCGGGACTGACCAAATAATTTTTCACTGTTTATTCGTGTAGATTGCAATAATGTGGAAGTGCTGAGCATTAAAAACGCAATGACCCCTTTCAGTTTACGAACTGTCGCCAGGTGATTTATTCAAAAGCAACTGTAATTTACGGAAGATCTTCTTAGCCTGTGAGGTTTTTGTTTGCGATCTACTGGATTTTTCCTATCAAAGCTCAAAAACAACCGGACTAGAATACTTTAGTTACGCCACCAAGACAAAACTCGGTCGCAGCGAGCAGGATTCGAACCTACGCGGGCAAAGCCCATTGGATTTCAAGTCCAACTCCTTAACCACTCGGACACCGCTGCACATCCCCTAAACTCTGGAAAAAAGTAAAACAGGTAAAAGGCTTTTTGTAATGGAAAATACCATAAATAGAGGAGACCCATTATAAAATTCAGTGAAAATGCAGCCACAGGCCCACTCATCAACTTTTGGTCCATATTTCGTTGACCCAAAAAGCAATTCCGGTGCGCGATACCACCTGGACGCTACCTAAAATAAGCATTAACAATTACGGGTCAAATATTAGCGGGGGGGTGGGGGCGGGGAGGGATCTAACTAATTAAATGAATAACTCAGGCTGCAATGCACCAGGCTTGGCGGTGCGATCATATGTTTTTGCATAAAGAAAACTTGCGGCAGTAAGATTGCTAAAAACAGGAATGATTTCTGCGACATAATTTAACACTTGGAGTCGTGCTGGTTGTATTTTGGCGTTTCTTTGTATACAATGGAAAAGGCGTTGGCTGGGATGGTAGTGTTTCAGTGAGGTAGCATGAACCTTTAGCGTGCATGGTTATCAATTCTGCATGAAATCTGGTCATTTTTCGGTGAGCGGCTGTCCATCGGAAAAATGCAAATTTCACAGACTTTGTATGTACAAGGAGCAGGATTACGAAATCCGCAAAATGCACTCACTTTTGAGTTTGCGATAAAAATGTGTATTTTTCACGTCGGTGTGCAAGCTGGATTAAGACCAAATAAGAATATAGAATATCTCTGCAAAAATTTCAACTTCGCAGATTGTCTGGTAAGCGAAGTAGCCACCTCGCTACAAATATTTTTGAAGTGCACTAAGCCGTGGTGCAAGTGCAAATCGAAACTCGATTTAAATATACGATTTTTCATGTAAAAGATAAATATATTTTGGCTAGTTTCCAAGCTAGTACAGTGACAGCCGCGAACTTTAACGTGGCCGTACGCGTGGCAAAAGCGTGCGCGATAGTTGAATTTGAAATCTTTAGCTCAAACACATAAAAAGGATATCTCTGTAAAGTTTCAGCTTTCTATCTTGTCTGTTTCCGGAACCGTTTCTCGCTATAGAAATTTGCGCATTTTTTCGAGAGCCGTACATGAGGTCTAGGCGTGTATAAAGAACGATTTTAAAACGGAAAGTGGCGCATGGGGTGGAAATATGCCCCAAAATTTCAACCTTTCAGCTTTACTGCTTGCTGCTCTGAAAATGAGTGACAAATTTCGCTCGATTCCGAACACACACAAACACGGAAGACCTCTCAACAGTATGCATTTTTGTTCATTGTAGCAGCGCTACACAGCAAAAACGCAAAAAAACTGAAAGTGCCACAATGCGTTAACAGCTGAAAGAGAAAAAGACGGAAATGAGAAATGAAGAACAGAAATAGATAACTACGAAGAGATACTGAATAACTGGAAATAACTGACTGTGAGGCAACAAACTGACAATGGCAAAGAATATATTGGCTTTTATACACTGTGATTCAAAATCGTAGGTCTTAATTAGATTTCGTAAGTCATAAATGAACTACAGACCTGACAATCATAATTTCGATCAGGATCGGTCGGCACATAAATGCAACACTGCCCAAAATCCGTAATTTTTAGCACCCCAGCAGATGTAATCAGCACATTTTCAGGTTTCAAATCCTAAAACAGTTTGACGAAAAAGTGACTATTCCCTAGTAAGCCATCATCGAATACCCACTGGCTTTTTAGTTTGATTTGCCCGTTTTAAGAATTGCAGTTCAGGTAATCACCTGAACAAGTTTGTTAGCATTTTGCTGTCACTTTTGAATCACTAGTTATAAAAATTGATTAAACAAACCGATAGGCTGACTGGGGAACC